GCACAGGTTGATGTTAAATAGGGAGCCACCACGGACAAGACCAATCCCAGAGCTGAGGGTGTGTGGTCAGATTCATAAAGCCACAGCTGACTAAGCTAGTGTTGCATCCAGCAAGCCACACAGAGACAGGACTGATTAACCCACAACTGACAGGGCTCCAGCCAGCAACACAGGCTGCCTGAACTCTACATGCCACATGATGGAGTGTGAGCTACAGCAGCACAAGAAACTGAGTCAAATGCAGTATATTATATAGAAATACTGGAGGAAAATATGCATTTATCAGCCAAGAAGATGCTCATGGGGTCTACTTGGACTTTCCAGCATGTGATCCAAAACATAAGGCCAAGTCAACTCTTCAAAGATCATAATATCCTGACCTCAACATTATTGAGCCACTATGGGGGGAGATCTCAAGCATGCAGTTCACGCTAGACAACCAAAGAAGTTACAGGTCCTGGAGGCTATTTTCCAAGAGGAATGGGCAGTTTAACCACATGAGAAAATGTGATTAAAAGGGGCCTCATTACAAATTACACCATACCACACCAATTGCCATGTGTTGCAGTAGCACAAGATGAAGGGTGCAATATACTTGTATATTGTTTTTGAGGTCAACCATGAAAATGAATGGCATTACACTATTCCACACTGGTTCCCATGTGCTGCAGTAGCACAAGATGAAGGGTGCAACATTGTAATACAGTGTAACAAAAGTTGTTTTTGAGGTCAACATTAGAGAGGTAGAAGGCCTCCTAATGGCTTTGCTAGGGGACCCTATAACACAAAGCTATGCCCCTGGTCAGCAATGGAAACAGGGCCATGCGATTCCTGTTACAAAGTAACTGATGCCTAGTGCTAAAATATATTTTGTGTCCGGTATTTATATCCCTGTTTCCTGTTAGAACCGAAACATGTTGTGTACATAAGGCTGCCACCAGAGCTTAAAGCTACGCCTAGCCGTTATCATAGGATTCAAAATACGTCTTATGAGGTTTTTCTATGCAATAAATGCAAGCCAAAATGTTTCCTTATACAGAAAGTATTTCTGTTGTCCGAAATTCTCCCTCATTTACAACTATCACAAAAGACCACAAGCCATCATTGATGCTAAAGACATCACTTTAAGAACTAAAGGTATGCAAACTTGAACAGGAACATTTTATTATTTTCATTTATTGCAATGGATTGCTTAACTAGTGTGCTAGTCTGTGATGCCTAATAGTTTAATATTCACAGCAAATATAAATGTGTTTGGTCTGATCGCTCTTTTTTTTATTTTTTCCAATGGATTTTCAAATAACTAAAAAGAAGATTGAAAGTCAAGGCTTTGATCTCATGGTCAAGCTGCCCTCATCCCACTATCATACATCCCTTCCACTTGATCATAAATTACAGCCCTAAGATTTTAATAACATGTTATGGGCTCCAGGTGTCAGAAAAGAACCTCGGCTGGGATTTGACAATGTTATTATGAGCCCCTGCTAGAGTCGCACACAGAATTTAGGGAAGAAATTGTACTTTCATAAGAATAATTTGAAAAGAGAAAATAAATGATATTAACAAAAATGGATACATTTACATAGGCTAACTTCTCTTGTACCCTTTTATCGCAGCTTTTTCTTCAAGTACTGCTTAAACGTCATGTTCTCCAAATCTGTTTCACAGCCTTATGTGTGAAATTCTTCTAAAATGTTACAAACTAAAAGCAGAGAAGTGCTAAAACTGCCATATGTTATTGTACAACCTTAATGCTTATTTAAAGAGGAACTGAACCGTGGAAATTGTTCGCAAATAAAAAGGCAGACATCCTGTAACAACCGTTCGCAAATAAAAGGTAGTCACCAGTATTGCCTGTGGTCTTCCTGCAGCTGATCTCTCCCCCATTACTAGCCTACAATGCCCTATCCTGCTGTGCGTCTCTGTGGTGGCCATCTTTAGTTTAGGCGTGGCTTCACTTCCTCATATCAGAGCCTCCAGCAAGGAGAACAGTTATCAGCAAGGGCTGTCCCTATAATGTAACCCCCCCCCCCATCTCATTGGGTCATGTAGGGGAGTTACATTGGGACACCTGCCGCCCCCTTACTGGCTATAGTGTCCCAGGTTGCTAAGAGCTCCTGGCAATCTGTTACACTCTAGCTGGCATCTCACCCAGCTCACTGACTGCCAGGAGCTGAGCGGGATGCTCTGGCATGTGTCCCACCCAGCTCCTGGCAACCAGCTATGTCAGTGAGCTGAACAGGACGCCATGCACCACGTTTGGCCCCTGATACAAAAAGGAAGAGGTCACCAGCACTTCAACAACGATAATAACATCAATTAGATGCTCATTTATTGACAGATGCTGTCTCTCATTGGCAAGTGCTCTCGGGGCCACACAGGGTCCCCTTCGTCAGGCTCAGAGATGGCCCCTGATACAGCCCCCCGTCGACAGCATGCACCAGGAGCAGTCACCACCCAACCCTATTAAACCCTCAGTAAATGTTTGTAGTTTTATTTGCCCTTTTGTGTACCTATTAAGGTCACAGCAACGTTCATCCGTATAAGGTCAAGTTTAAAAAAGCTTCCACCCAGCCATACATAGGTCAAATGCCATTCACATCACATTCCAGCCATTAGATGGAGCCAAGGAGCATTTCCTGTGCTCCTTGGCTCCATCCGGTTTTGGGTATGTCATAGAAATGGGAGATTTTTTTGTTTTTAACTTGGACCCCATAAAAAAAGAATGTTGCTGTGAGGGAAGAGTAAAGAAATCCCAGTACAGGAACCATTGTCAGATCTTTGGGTTTGAAGACAGGATCTTCAGGAAAAAAAAAAGGTTTGAGAACATGAAATGCGTCCCTAGACTGGTTTAAGTTCTGACAGAGGACAACCTGCCGCCCCCTTTCTGGCTATAGCGTCTCAGGTTGCTAAGAGCTCCTAACAACCTACTACTAAGTAGGTAAGTACTAAGAGCTTGAGTACTTTCAGTTGGTGTGGCTTTTCATTCAATCTGGAAAGGTTTTAGAATAAACCAATGGAAATAGCAAAAAATAAGGATTTTTGACAATCATTTTTACTCTGTATTTTGGGTATATATTATATATGTACAAATATATAAATGTATCTGCTGTATATATGTTATTTTTTCCCTGTGCAATACTGCATTTATTGATTTATAAATTCTACCGAACATCTAAAATATCTCTTGCTTGTCTCATTATATGTATGTTTATCAGTATATCATCCTGTTGTAGGATTAGGTGGCACAGACTTGAATTGCTATTGCATCATGACTCTTGCCCAACTTAGTTTCCTTCCATGACCAAGACATCATCAGCAAATCAGTTGAGCTGAGATTTGACTTGGAGCAGAAAGATTTGCAGGTACCCAGATATTCACTAAAGTTGTCTGATTTGCTGGAGGGCAAGCAGGCCGCCTTCAAAAAGTAATAGGGAAGTGTTAACGTTATTATTCCACTTTAAAGTGACACTAAACTTATGAGTTACATCTTAAAAATACATTCAAGTCCCTTACCTATGCACAACAATGTATCTTATTTGTGTATCACTCGGCTGTAGATCCCCCAATCATCTCTGAATTGGTGCTGACACTGTCCTTCCTTCTGGAGGGGGGCTACACTTGTTCCCCATGGTCTCTGTGTGTTGTAAAGTAGTCACCGCTCCAAGCTCGCTCCAGGGATGGACTACAATCTAACGATCTAATGAATACAACGAAGCTAGGGAACTTTACATTTTTATACCTGTTGAGCAGAAAGCTAGCTTACACCATCATTAATTTGGAGGGAAACCATTTTACTCTACAACAAAGTGCACAGCTAGACTGACAAGAAATCTTTCGGCTGGTGGAAATGGCTACTTGAAATTAGCTTCCAGAACAAGGGGTTATGGGGTTAGGAATGCAAAGCTTGCAGCCACGATAACACAGATTATTCCTCCTGCGTCTGTTTCCTTTCTTGACAAAATGTAATAAAATGTGTGTCATGATGACCCAAATACGTGAAGCTTCATGTGCAGGTAAAGTGTGCTAAACAGCACTTAAGGCATGCTAAAATTACATAACATTGACTGAGATGCCACCCTCTAAGGTGCCATAAGTGCTACTTATAGCTTACTGAATCAGGGCCAATGGCTGATGTGCACCAATGACATCAATTAAACTGCTCTATAACCTCTGGGCAGCCAACACATACTGCTATATTGCAGCCCTAAACGAGGCCCTTTCACCTTCCCAAGGGTCGAAAAAAAGGTGCCTCCCCTTTCTTTGTAATACTTTGTGATATAGACAGCGTATGTAGTTGTGGTAAACATATAAAACCATCACTGTTCATGGCTTGACAATCAGCTTGACAATATTATAATTACTGGGAACAAAACCATTGAACAACCTTTAGACTTTTTTTTCCTCATTAGAACATTTTACATTTGCTAGCAAGTATAAAGAGTCTGGCTTTAAAAGTCTAGTCTGGACTACATAGCTCGTATTTCCTAAATATTATGTATATATTTGCCTACGTGTATGAGTCGGAAAAGTATACCATACTGAGCAATACATCAGCAACTGTTTTCTTCAGTGCCCCGCGGCAGAAGGACTGTTGGGCCAAACCAATTTCGGGTGGCCCCATTGCGCTTACAAAATTGCCAACACTATCACCGGCTGTCACTAAGGTTCCTGTAGAAATCCAAAGGGCACCAAATTTTTGGTGACCCAACGCAAAAAGGTGAATCCATCATTGGCACCGGAACAGTGTGTTTGGGTTGTGTCATCGTATGTAGACGTTTTGAAAACTGTGAGGCACATATTTAGGAGATTGTGTTAAATAGACCGTAAAATCCTGAACTACAAACCAAGTCCATAGGTGATCCAATTCAAAAACCTGAATAGGAATCCATGCTCACGGGTGGATCCGACTGTAAGACCGAGGGCGAGCTGCCATAACAGCCACAATGATGTTGATAAGAAGGAAGCAACGTCCACTCCTGTGTCAGGTGTGTTTCTTTTCCAAGGAAAAGGCTGTAAAGGATCAGCTAAAAAGAGCCCAAAAAATAGGAGAAAACAAATGTTCTAGAAATCCAGTCTGTTAAATAAAATACTCCTTTCTGCACTCGCTCACTGTGTTCTGTAAGTCCATCTCGTTTCGGAAGGGATAGTCAATGTTCCCGGAATACTCTTTCTCCTTAGGTTGGCTTTTGCCGTGTGTCTTTTTATGTTGGTAGAGGATCTTGGTCATGATGGCCGCAATGCAAAAAATGATGAATATCGTTATCGCTATGACACCTACAAAAGAAGCACAAGAAGCAGATAGATCACCACGTGGCCTCAGTATTTGTTAGAGTGTAACTGCGGTCATCAGAATTTTTCTTTTTGACAGATTGGGGAAACAAAACAGAAAAGTATATGGGAGACTTGGGATTTTGCATCTTTTGGTGCTGAGAGTTGATCATCTCTGTAGAGTGTCCTAGAGTGGTAGACGTGTGTACGCAAAGGGAAGGTTAATGCTAGGGTTACAGGAATGGTCAGTGTAAGAGCTACAGGAAGTGTGTGTCTGTAGAGAGACAAGAGTAACAAAGAGGGTCACAGAGTAGTATTAGAGCAAAGAATGGAGGTACCACCAAACAAGGAAGAATCCCAAAATGTTTTATTTGGTAGAGAAGGGGTTTGAGGTGTAATTCAGGGAAATCCCTTGGGAAATCAAATTCTGCTGCATGTGCCCAACCTTGTTACAAGATTGAATTTGTGGTTACTATCACTGTAATCTCCCTAAGTCCATATTTGATCCCCCAAATGATTCCCCTCTGAATTACACCTCAAGCCCTGATGGGTTTGAATTTGCCCCAAAATGTGTTGGCACTTTGATGCTTGTATCTCTACCAATGAAACAATTTTGGACTCTATCTTTGCTTCTATTCACTTCCCCAAGGCCCCTACTGCAGTTAGGGTTCTTTTCGGGCAGACGTGCAGCCTACTATTCAGTGACTAAGACCCATTTAAAAACTTATAGTGAAATCAATGGACATTTAGGATCAAAGGTCTCGGTGCCTCTAATCCTTTTGTAGTACTAGAGTTAATATTAGAGTCAAAAGAAAAGGTTACTGTTAGGGTTACAGGAGGGGTAAGTTTGAAGATTGGCATTAGGTATAGAGGAAGGGATAGTGTTATGGTTACAGGGAAGGTTAGTGTAAGGGTTACAAGGTGAGGAGGGGGAGTTAGTGGTAGACTTACAAAGTGTAATAAGTGAGGATGAACGTTAAAGTTACGGGAAGGGTACGTTTGAGTCTTAGTGTTCGGTATAAAGGAAGGATTAGTGTGAGGATTAGTGTTAGGTATAGAGGAAGGGTTAGTGCGAGCATTAGTGTTAGGTATAGAGTAAGTGTTAGTGTGAGGATTAGTGTTAGGTATAGAGGAAGGGTTGGTGCTAGGGTTATAAGGAGGGTCAGTGTGAACATAAGTTTTAGGGTTACGAGGTGGCTTAACATTAAGGTTAATGGGCTGGTCTGTGTTATGGTTACAGGGAGTGTTAGTGCGATGAATACTGTTAGGTATAGAGAAAGGGTTAGTGGTAGGGTTACAGGGAGGGTCAGTGTGATGATTACTGTTAGGTATAGAGGAAGGGTTAGTGGTAGGGTTATAGGGAGGGTCAGTGTGATGATCACTGTTAGGTATAGAGGGAGGGTTAGTGGTAGGGTTACAGGGAGGGTTGGTGTGAACATTAATGTTAGGGTTATAATCCAAGCAGCTCTGTGATTTCTGTGACAAATGAAAAGATTTGTAAATAAACAGATCATAGAGTTCCTTTAGAATAATTTTGTAACCTTTTTACCCATCCTCCTCTCCTGTACATTTCACCTCCATGCTGTCTCTATGCAACCCATTATTTACTCATGTACCTCCCTTATCCTGCACATTAACCCCCCTCAATTCCATCTTCTCTATGTATGTGAACTGTACATTGCCTCTTCACGTCTTCCTCCCTCCTTCCCTTTAGCCATGCATTAATGATGCCCAGCATCTAGTGCCCCATTTCCAAGCTCCACATTTTCCTCACTTCCATAGCAGCATGTGTATTCATTTACAACAAAACGTGAAAAAGAATGAGATCATCTTGGGGTGTCTACCTTTAGTTATACTTTAAACTTTAATCCCGTGTCAATAACTGCATTCCAGGAACTAAGTCGTAAATCCAGAAAATGCATTCTCTCAAGAGAAAATGTAATGGCTTATAATACCAATCTCTTTGCAGGTTCATATAGGTCATCAAATTACTGGCCAGAATCTGACCTAATTGACAGCTTTCCAATAGGACTGACACCCACCGCTGCAATATTAATGTTTCTCGGGAACCCTGAGTGATTGCTGATGGCACCAGAGCTCGGTGAAGGACTTGGCAGCTGCCATCCCTGCTGATGTGCACAGGATTTAATTTACTACGGGCAGTTACGACCTTATCACTACAGTGGCTGAGAGGAGGCTGGGAGGTTGATAGGTAAGAAACAGTGATAGATGGCTTGTCAGTCCCAGCTGTGAGGAAACATAAGATGTTCAGTGAAACATCCAGCCTAGAACAGAGGCCATTCATGGGATATATAAGTGTGTTTAAGATTCTGGTGGATCAGAGAGGAGTTGGGCCATAAAATTATTATCATAAAAGAAGCAGATGATAAAAGAAACAAAATATTGTGAGAATTTTACTAAATTTTCTAAAGGTACACACCAGCCAAAATTAAAAAAAATAAGACTTGAGGTGTGAATGGCGGAGGAGCACTACCCCACATGCATCGTACCTTATTTTTACATCTAGGCATTGCTATTCTTCACTGGTTTACCCACTCCCTAGTAATCTGGTGATCCTGGAACACACCTTCTGGCAATGCCAGATCACCCTACTTGCGGCCTTTCACAAAACGATTGATGTAAAGAAAATGCAGTGTAACGGTGTTCTTTACAATTGCCAATAAGAGTCAGACCTGCCTTGGAAGTTTGAATGTGATTGCCAATTACAGAAGCAGAGAGAAACAAGTCACATAGCACAAGCTTCAGGAGAACATGCCTACCACACTACTGCAGACCCTGTGAGATCATCTGTGTGTGCTGTAGATGCAGTGGAATACATGAAACTCCTTTCCACCTACAATCTTTACCATAATGCTTCCCAGCACAACGCCCCGCACTGGGGAAACATTAATAAAGCTCACTCCCTTTAAGAGCCACAAGCAAAAACTGTGCACTGCCCATGGCTCTCAATCACACTGGTTGTTCCAGTCCCCACTAATGATCGGGAACCAGTCAGAGTGATTCTCAGCCATTCGATTGCCATCTCTGCTATGACATGGTGATCACATGCCGGCTGGAGGACTTCAGCCTGCAGAGTGCCCTGCAGATGGTCCCCGTCTTGATCTTCTAAATCTTGCAAATACAGTTTGTACTATGGTGTTAGATGAACAAAGTGAGGTATAAACATGAATAATGTCAAATAGTATCAGATGAGG